CCTGCGTCAGAAAATCAAGAGATTTGGGCCAGTTCCGTGCCCTGCCCCAGGCTCCCGCCAGGGCCACCGCGGGCAGGTGAGGGGCCAGGGGCAGCTCGGTCCCGGGGCAGAGCCGCTGAGCCCTTCAAAGGGGAAAGCGTGTTTATTTCTGGGATATCGGGTTTCCGGCAGGAAGGCCAGCAACTGCCAAGGTTTTTATTGGATCCCAGTGAAAGGAATTTAGAGAGTCCCGCGCTTGTTGTCCTTCCCTGCGCCTGCACTGGTTCAAGAGCGTTTTTACCTTTGAACGGGAGCGAGGGGTGCGGGGATTTGGCATCCGGCACCGGCACGTCCGTGGCGATGGAGTTTCAAACAGGTTGCCTTGTTGTCTCCTGGGCAGGAGGCATCAGGAGGGGTCGGGGCTGGGAAAGCACGGAGAGGGGCTTGGAAGGAGTTGAAAGAACCTGAACTCCGCTGGGCTTGAAACATGTGGGAAGTGTTGCTCGAGCTCCTCTCCTCGTAGCGGGGCTGGGGCCGGGTGTTTCACATTTGTTGCTAGTTTGGACAAGGTTTTGACTGTTCTTGGAGGTAATTTTATAGGAGATTGAAATTCTGAAGACCACGTACAGTGGCTTGATTGCTTCAATGTGTCGTGGAGACAGCTCCAGAGCTCTGATTGCCCTTGGATGCTGCCAGCACTGACCAACATCCTCCAGGGCCTGAGGTCTGTGCCAAGTCCTGCTCCTGTCCATGCACAGGGAGCTCTTGGCTTCATGCTGGGATTTTCCAGTGCCCCTTCTAGCCCGGCTGTAGAGCCGGTGCCCTGAGGAAGGGGAAGAAGAGAGGCAGTGGCTGTGGTTTGGATCAGGGTCAGAGCAGCTCCATGGCTCTCCCTGCGGAGCAGAAACGAAACAGGTCATTAAGGCAAGGCAGAATAACCGGGAGATGAGCGGGCTCTGGGGCAGCTGGGCCACCCACAGCACGGTGCGAGCCCTGGCTCTGCTCGAGGTCTCTCCAGCCGCTCAGCGCCACAGTGTTGGGCCATTCCCTTGGGAATGAGCTGCTGAAATCCTGTGTCTTGCTCCCCACCCTTGCGCTGAGGTGAGCAGTTCTGCACAGTGGCTCCAAGGGTCCTTGCAAGAGC